TGGCTTACTCACTGGGGGCTTTGGGTGGGGATGCTGTAAAGCGCTTTGGGATGATGTAATGTTGTGATAATGTGCTATACAAAAATAAATTTGTTGTTGTTGGACTCCCCGAAACCCAGAAGGATAAGCAGGTTGGAAAATGTATGGATGGATCTGTAACATGTATGTGTGACAAACATACAAAGAAATCAGGAAGGGGGCAAACACTTTTTTACACCGCTGTATATCCCACAGTATGCCATGAACTGTGCAGTGCTGTAAAGCAATAACGGACATACGAAGTAGTAGAATATTACACATTTGCAGAATTTAATCAAGGGTGTACACATTTATGCAACAGTGGATTTAAGCTTCTATAGATATTGTCAAAATATGGTTATATGTTACTGCTGATACTTCTTTAAGACATTTTATTTTTGTTACCTTTCCATTAATTATAATGATTATTTAGGAATAGAAATATATTTTTATATTTAGGAGAAGTGTACTCATTCATGCTACATACTCTGTGTGATTCAATGGAAACACGCACCTAACCTCCTGCCCCCTAAACACACATGGTATACCCACAGGATTGGTAGGGACGTGTCCCTACAATCTGTACCCAAATGTATGCCCTTTCTTGCAGACTTCAGGCAGTCATTGAATAAAGGATTTGCAGCCAGGTATTAACAATGATACATTTCTTTATTGTCCCTTAAAATGGAGGGGTGACTATGAAATAAAATGGTTATAATTCCTGTACAGTTCTCCCAATATAGCTGTCCATGGTCTTAAATTAAAGGCAAGGCAACACAAGGCAAGTTTATTTATATAGCACAATTCACACGCTTTACAAAGGCAGAATAATAAATTAAAATATGACATTAAAATCACATTTAAAAACCTGAAAACCAAACAAATAGTTAACTGATAAGAAGTTACTTTGCAGTGACAGTGTATGACTAAACTGATTTAATTTATTGTAAAGCTGCAGAAAACAGTAAATGTTTTAAGCCCTGAATTGAATGAGCTGATGGTTTTAGGAGACCTCAGCTCTTTAGGAAGCTTGTTCCGGAGACAGGGAGCATAGAAATTAAACACTGGTTGGTCTTGATTCTGGGAACACTGAGTAAACCTTTCCTAGATGACCTCAGGAGTCTGAATGCTTCATAATGTTCAAGTAAATCAGAAATTTACTATTTAGTGCTTTGTACACAAGTAATAATGTTTTAAAATAAATCCTGTAATGCACAGGAAGCCAATGCAGTGATTTAAGGACCCGTGTGATATGCTCTGCTTTCTTGGTGTTAGTGAGGACCCCAGTGGCAGCATTCTGGATGACCTGTAGCTGTTTGAATTTTTTGTCATGACCTGTGAAGACACCATTACAATAGTCTAGCCTGCTAAAAATAAATGCATGAACAAGTTTTTCTGTATCTTGTTTAGACAGAAATTCTTTAATTCTTGCTATGTTTTTAAAGTGGCAGTAGGCTGATTTTGTAATTGTTTTTCTGTGGCTGTTGAAACTAATGTCCAAGTCCAGAACTACACCAAGATTTCTGACTTGATTTGTAGGTTTTAGTGCCATGGATTCAAGGTGAGCAATGACTTTCAATCTTTCTTTTTTGGGGCTAAAACCAATTATTGTTTTTCTGTGTTTCAATTGCAGAAAATTCAGGAGAATCCATTCCTTGATTTTTTTTCCAGTGCATGAATTCAGTGAATCTAAGGGACTAGAGTCACATGGTGACACTAATGTACAATCGTGCATCATCTGCGTAATTATGGTAAGAGATGTTATAGTGTTCCATAATCTGAACAATGGGGACCATGTAGATGTTGAATTGAAGAGGCCCAAGAACAGACCCTTAAGGA